GGGGGGGTTTGCCAGTGAGATGGCACTGATTGCGAAGAATCTGCGAGCGGGCTGAAGATCCAAACTGTGATTGAGAGCTTTTCGTGGGGCATTTTTCTGTCCCAAATAATTGGCCAGCGCACCGACTGCCGATACGAAGATGCGTTTTTTGCATAGTTTCCCGCAAGTTTTTGTCGCTACCGGCACCAGTTTTTCCTGCAGATGCTTCTAGCTAAACGCGAATTGAGACTGGTCGCCAGAACTGTCAGGAAATATCCCCTTAAAAAATTCCAGTTTCCTTGCTTTGCCGTTTCCCGAGTTAGCAACTTATCCGCAAAAAACTTTCACAGGCCTGTGCGTGGAGATCACGCATACCTGAAAGTCGTCAACATATGTTTTCTGCATTGCATAGCTACAAAAAACGCATAAAATAGGGCGAAAGATTTTCTAAGGCCAATTTTCTGAAACACTTGATGAATGGAATGTCGAAAATTTTCAGCTCACTGCGTGGAGAGCTGAGATTTGATGTGATTTTTAGGATTTTGAGTTTCGAATTTGTGAAATTCTCAAGTCCATTGTTTTGGAATCATGAAATTCAAGCGTGTTTTATGCGTTTTGTGCTGTATAACAGCGTTACAAAGCGCATATTGTCAAGGGGTTGTCTGTGTGTGTGCGTGTGTGTGTATGCGTCTGTGTGTGTGGGTGTGTGTGTGTCCCACACTTTGTCCCGCACTTTCAACCCGGAAACCACAAAAGCTAGGCGGTTGAAATTTTGGTATAGTGTTTTCCGCCAACGGGTGGTGCGGCAAATTTAAATTCAGCCTTCCCTTACCCGCGGGTAACACGTACGCCCCCGTGAAACTTTCTTACGGGTAAATTAATATCTCAGAAACCACGGAGTTTAGGAGGCTGAAATTTTAGGGCAATGAATTCCTGCTCACGCTCAACCTTGCCCATTCAAATTCAGCGCTCCATCGCTGTTGAGTATCACCTGCGGCCTCGTGAGAATTTCGGCGGTTAAACTATTAACTCGGGAATTACGGAAAGATATTCACCCTTCAAGGTTTCGGATTCAGCTTTCATGCGATGGTGCGTGAAATTTTTAATTATTTTCCAGTGTTTGAACTATTTTTGCATAGGCAAAAGCACAAGGCAGTGAGAATCATTAATAGGCAATCGTTCGATGGGCTGAATTACACAAAACGCATAATCGCACCGGCTAGTCTGGTGCGCGTTGCCATTTACTTTTTTTTTTTTTTTGCAGCTTGGTGGGTATCGAATTTACAGATCAGTGCCTAATATTTCTCTGCTCTGGGTGCATGAAATGACTACTACGTTATAAAATTTGAGCTGAATTGTTCTGCAAAAATACGCTTCCGGAATTGGGGATGGTGGAGTTCGGCAAAGATTTGAAAATCGATGCGGCATGGCTTGCCGATAGGATAAATAGCACGGTGGTGGATGCGGATGGTCACTGGAAGACAGCTCTCCTGAACGATATCCTTGCGAAAGCAGCCAAACCCTGTGTGCCGGAGGAGAGCACGAAAAAGACCGTCTTCACGGTTGGTGCAGAAGAAACGACAAGCGAAGGTACGTGTTTTTATCGCGATTCTTGTGTAGTGAGGAAAAGTGCTCCTAAGAGCTAAGCGCAGGTCTTAAGTGGTAGAGCTAACACTTTTTCGGTGACTTTTTTGTTTGTTTTGATGCCAAACCAGTAGAATGAACAGGATAGAAGTAATGGTGGAATAATAATAGTGATAATAATAATAGTGATAATAATATTAATAGCGATAATAATAATAGTGATAATAATAATAATAATAGTAACAATAATAATAGTATTAATAATAGTAATAATAATAACAGTAATAATAATAGTAATAATAATAGTAGTAATAATAATAGTAGTAATAATAGTAGTAATAACAATAGTAATAATAACAATAGTAATAATAGTAGTAAAAATGGCAGTAATAATAATAGTAGTAGTAACAGTAATAATAACAATGATAATAATGATGGTAATAATAACAAATGGTAACAAAGATAATAATAATTATGGTAATAATAACAAATGGTAACAAAGATAATAATAATTCAATGATAACAGCAATAATAGCAGCAGTAACAATAATAACAATAATGACAATAATAACAGTGATAATAATAACAATAATAATAGTACAAAAATACAATGATAATAGCAACAACAATAATAATAAGTGTGGAAATAACAGACAAAGCTGTAACAGTAAGGGAAATGTAGTAACGTTAGTAATAAGTAGGGATTTTTAATGATAATCTTCGTAGTGGTAGTGATAATAATAATGATCATAATAACATTCATGATAATAACGATGATAATAATAACAGTGGTTATTTTTCAGTTTGAGATTATTATGCAGTTTGGAATAATGTCCACAAAAGAGAGAAAAATCAGTGGGGGAGGTGGGGGTGTAATGTTGAAAAAATGCCTAGGGGAAGTTGCTTATCTTCAACTTAATTTTCAAGCCCTCTTCCCTCCTTTCACCGCTTTCCCCCTCCCCCCTCTCACCTAGTCCCCCACTTCCAACCTGTCTTTCCGAGAAGATAGCCTTGTCAGCTTGTCAGACTGTTTCCGATGAGCACCGTCTCTCATTGTCAGTGGAAATGTAGAAAAATAAAATAGGCACAGATTGCAGCTTCTGTAGTCCAAGGGAAAGAGTGAATCAGTAACGCAACGTGGATTACATAATAAATCGGAAAGAGCGTGGGTTACGTGGATAGACGGTGTATCAGGCGGCGACAGTGCGGTATTGTGGAAGGAAAATATTTGGCGAAATGATGATCTTTTGCTTGTCATTTCAGATAGTGATTCGCAATTTGGTCCCATTGAAGCTGGAGTTTTACGGCGATCTCCCGATTTGCCGAATACCAGTGACAGAGATACGTCAGTGCTGGTGCGGAATCTGAAAGCGGGCACCGCGGACAACTGTGCTTCAATGAGCGATGGGTCAGTTATGTGCATTTTTATGCGTTTTGTGCTGTTTAACAGCAGTACGAAACGCATATTGTCACGGGTTTTTCTGTGTGTGTGTGTGTGTTTGTGTCCGCAGCAACTTGTCGGCAACTTTCAACTCGGAAACCACAAAAGCTGGGAAGCTGAAAATTTAGGGGAACGTTCCTCACCTACGTGTGACCCCGCAAATTTAAATTCAGCCTTCCTTTACCCGCGGGTAACACGTACGGCTCCGTGAAAGTTTTTCGCGGGTAAGTTAATATTTCGGGAACCACGGAGTCTAGGAGGCTGAAATTTTAGGGTAATGGCCCTCTGCCCACGCTCAACCTTCCCCATTCAAATTCGGCCTTCCTTTACTCGCGGGTAACACTTACGGCCTCGTGAAAGTTTTTCACGGGTAAGTTAATATCTCGGGAACCACGGAGTCTAAGAGGCTGAAATTTTA